TCCTATCTATCCTCTGTCTCTCTCTCTCTCTCTCTCTCTCTCTCTCTCTCTCTCTCTCTCTCTCTCTCTCTCTATATATATCTATCCTATCTCTATCCTATCTATCCTATCTATCTATCCTCTCTCTCTCTCTCTCTCTCTCTCTCTCTCTCTCTCTCTCTCTCTATCTATCTATCTATCTATATAAATACATAAATAATTCCTCATATACTATATTCGAGATGTTCTCACCGGAGGTTGTAGCTGCCGCTCAATCGGGGCGTGCGGAACAGCAGTACGCCCTGGGACTTTGGTACAAGAAAGGCAAAGATGTGAAATCTGATGCCATCAAGGCCGCCGAGTGGTTTCAGCTGGCAGCTACTCAAGGACATCCGTTTGCACAGTATGAATTGGGCTTGTGCTATGCCAAAGGCCTCGGTGTCAACATTGACAGGTCTCAGGCTGTGGGCCTGTTCGAGCTGGCAGCGAAGAAAGGCCACAGCGATGCCCAATACGAGCTGGGGTTATGTTATTGTCGAGGCCAAGGGGTGGGTGTGGACGAAGACAAGGCGCTGGAATGGTTTGAATCGGCAGCGAACCAGGGTCACGTGAGAGCGAAGTACAAGGTGGAATTCATGACGTCGCACAAAAAACGAAACGCGCTGCAGAACAGTGGGGGAGGTGGGGTTGGTGGGGGAGGTGGGGGGGGTGGGGAACCCTCCTCCTCCTCCTCCTCTGCTTCTTTGTCGTCGTCCTTCTCCTCTAGGGGCATGATTGGAGATCGCCCGACGGCTGCGGCAGGCCATGGCGGCACTGGAGGGGTCCATCCCCCCCCTTTCTCGAGCAACCCCATGGGAGGTAGCAGTTGCAGCAGCTGGCATCATGCTGAAATCCACCCCCTCGACAGCAGCAGCTCCCCTCCTCCCCCCCCTGCAGCGCCCCCCCCTTCTCCCTCTCCTCACTCTCTCGACTCTGCTGCTGCCGATCACTTGTGGCTGGGAGCAGCAGCTGGAGGTGGAGGAGGTGGAGGTGGTTATCGTCCTTCCCCTCGCGATGATGCGCGAAGATACGTCGAAGAAAACTGTGCTAAAAATAGCAACAACAACAACAAGAACGTCAACAACAATTCTCTCAACAGCCTCATCAACCGTATTCGCTCAGAGTGCCACGTGGATGATGACACCGCTGATGACGACGAGAACTACGACGACGACGGCGTGAACACGGCCGCAGCCGCGAGTCCTGCGCACGAAGGCGGCTCCCCTCTCCCCTCCGATCTCCTCCATGCGGACGACTTCGTCGTTGTGCACTACCCGGAGCCCGAGGAGGATGAGATACTTATCCTGTTCAAGCTCTACAATCCCAAGCTTGAGCAGCTGCGCTATGTGGGCCAGCGGCTCGTTCGGCTCACCTCCATGCCCATGGATTTGACCGCAGAGATGACCAAGTTCGCCGGCTTTGCCCCCGACGAAGGGATCATTCTCTGGAAAGAGAACAAGTTCGCTGAACCTAGGTACCGATTCGTTGACATGGACACGACCTTCGCGGACAGCGGACTTGTGGACGGCGATATCGTGTGCTATCAACGCACTTCGGAGGTGGGGGAGATGGACCGCTTCCGATTCCCAGACATTCCCTCCTACTTCCATCACCTGGGATCCCGACAGGTCCTGCATTTTCGCCGACTGAGGCAGCCGCAAGACGACGACTTTGTGCTCACGATGTCTGCCACCGATCCCTTCTCCTCCGTTCTCGAAAATGTGGGCTCCCGCACCGGGGTCTCTGACATCCAACGTATCCGGATTGCAGGCCATAGCCCCGACTACCATCTGCCGAATGTCGTCGGGATCGAGTGCGAGGATGCGACGCCTGTGTCTGCCCTGCTCTCCCTGTACAATTTGGGTGCAGACATCTTTTATTACGAAATCATAGACTTCATGATCCCCATGCATGGACTGAAGATCCTAAGGGTGTCCTTTTACAATGAGCAGGTCGAGAAGATGGCTGATTGCACGTTGAGGCTTCCGAAGACGACGACGGTGGAGGAGGTGGCTCTGGAGATGAAGACCAAACCTGAGGTCCGCCAGTGCCTGTCGAGCCCTGGCGCTGCAGTCCGGATCGCGGCCATTGTGAACAACAAGTTTTGCAAGCTCCTCGGTCCCGATCTCGAGGTCCAGGCCTTGCACCTGTATAACCAACACTGCGAGTTTCGAGCTGAAGAGGTTATGGGGAGAATTATGGGGATGGAGGAGGTGGAGGAGAGAGGGGGGGAGGAGGAGCTTCCTGACGGGTCGACGATGACCCCCAGCAGCACCACCACCACCACCACGACGACGGCGGCGAGGACATCAGTAGCCGCCGCCCAGTGTCCGAAGGCGGCACCGAAGAAGACGACGAGGATGATGATGCTTCACGTCTGTCACTTTGATCGGCCGATTTCGCGCGGGCGCAAAGTGTGCTTGTTTGGAAGTCCCTTCTTTGTCCCCGTTGGTCAAACCGACAGCCTCGCTTCGGTCAAACAGACAATTCAACGGAAACTGAACGCCCCGGCGGAGGAATTTTGCGAGTGGAGATTTGCAATGTTGAAGATGAAGTGGGTGGATGTTGTGTCCGATGCGGAGCCCACTTATCTCAAGGACGAAGACATCGTGGCTGTCAAGTTCGACGGGAAGCTGATCTCCCCTGAGTCCATCTCCTCTGGCCTGCTCGAGGAGGATTTCCTAATGGAGAAAGAGATCGTTGTGATGGGCTTGGAACACGATTTTCCCAATAGACGAGGAGGAGGAGGAGGAGGAGGAGGAGGGATTGGGAGATGGTTTCAGGGTTCATCTGTTTGCGAAGAGTTTCATGACGGGTCAATTGGAGGTGTGGAAGGAGAAGGAGCCAGTGTTTCGAGAGCATCGGAGGAAGACGACGAAGAAGACATGGTCGAAGTTGTGGCAGAAGGGTACAACCCCTTTGGGGCCTTTGAATGGGAGGAGGAGGATGAGCAGACTACTAGTTCTACTAATATGCCTACTGCTCCTCCTCCTCCTCCTCCTCCTCCTCTCAGGCAAGCCCTTGATCTGTCAGCGAGTGGATCCCAGGCACTCGATCATCGGCAACTGGGCGGCGGCGGCGGCGCTGGCGACATGGAGGTGGTGTCCGTGATGAGCAGGCTGGAGGAGAAGGAAGAGGAGGTGCGATCTGCGCTGGCAAAGGAGAAGGCCATGGAGGCCAAGGTGATTGAGCTGACGGAAGAGATAGAGGCGCTCAAGACGTCGCTGGACCGGAATGCATCCACACTTGCGGAGAAGGATGGCGAGATTTTGCAGATGAAGGCTCAGCTGCTGGAGGCTGCGGAGGCGTCCCTCTCTCATCAGAGGGATGTGCAGCTGGCAGCAGCGGCAGCGCAGTGCAACTTGCACGATGCAGAGGAATGTGAAAGGTCCACGACTGAGCTCCGGGCGAGGGTGGAGGACACCGAAAGACAACTGATGGACGCCCGTGCGAGAGAGGCGGATTTGACGGAGAAACTCAAGGCGGTGAAAGTGCGGAGGGACGAGAGTGGGCAGGAGCTGAGGGAGTGGCAGACCAAAGCCTGCGAGGCACAAGAGCAAGCAAAGAGAATGCAGGCGGAAGTCGACGAGTCAGCACGGAGGGAGGCGGAGGCATCGCAGCAAATGACGGTGTGGAAAGTGGCCGCCGAAGAGGCTCGCAAGCAGCTGGAGGAGTGGGAAAGCAGAGAAACCACCGCGAACTTGGGGCTGCAGCAGAAGACGGAGGAGATAGAGTATCTCCAGGGCGAACTGTCGTGCGAGCGAGAAAGAACAGAATCTCTGAGAAGGGTCTCGAGGGAGTTCCAGAAGAAAGCAGAAGATGCGCAGACAAAAATGGAGGAGCTCGAGGATCGCCTGCGCGCGATGGAATCTGTGCTGTCGAGCAAGGACAGTGAGATCGGGTCGCTCAAGGAAGCTCAGGAAAGGCTCGCTGCTGTCGAAGTGCTCTCGGACGAAAATTGCAGCAGCAGCGATTCGCAGCTGCACGGTCTGCAGGAGGAGTTGCAGGAGAAGCTCGAGGCCACGGAGTCATGGCTGAGAGAAAAGGAGGCGGAACTTGAGGCACTTAGAGTAAAGTTCAAGGAGAAGGAGATGGTACTGTCAACGAAGCACTTTGTGGAGTCGGCGCGCCAGTTGAAGGAGATCGACTTCCTGCTGAAGAGTCTCGAAGAGGTGGAATTGAGAGCGGAGGAGGCGACGAAGAAGATCACGGAGATGTCGTCGTGGACGGTGGCGGCGGAGGAGAAGCTGCAGAAGCAGGAGCTGGAGATCGACCGTCTGAAGTCTAATTTGGAGACGAGGTTGGGAGAGAGGGACGCGGCTACGAGGCAGCAACAGGAAGAGTGGGAGGGGAAGCTGCGGGCCAAGGACGAGGAGGTAGCACGTCTCAAACAGACGATGGATCGGAAGTCGAACGAGATCATGCAGCTCAAGGAGAGGTTGGCCCGGGAGTCGATGGAGGCGCAGACGCGGTCTTCTCAGAAGATGGCAGATCTCGACAAACAGTTAGCTGACAAGAATGTGGAGATGGCGCGCCTGAAGGAGCGGTTGAGGACCGGAGAAAAGGAGAGGAAGATGGCACTGCAGGGAGTCGAAGAGCTTGAGGTAATTGTGGGAAAGATCGAAGCAGATTCGGCGCAGAAACTGCAGCATCTTCAGGAGGAGATCAAACGAAGAGATGCACAGATCAGCGTGCTGAATGGCCAGATGGAAGCGAAGGCCGAAGACGCAAAGGAGGCGGAGTCGTTATACGGACTTCTGCAAGAGATGGAGCACAGATTAGAGGAACTGAGGCACGAACACGAGAGCCTTCAGAACAGAGCCCAGCAGGAGCTGAAGGAGAGGGAGATGGAAAACCGAAAGCTATGGAACTCGCTGCAGCTGCGGGAGAGGGAAGTCGAAGCACTGACTCGGCGCTCACAGGTGATGGAGAAGCAGATGGAAGATACACGACGGGCAATGTCAACGATGCAGGCGCAGTCGAGATCGAAGTCCAGCTCTAGCGAGAAGGAGGCCAAAATCAATCAATTCAAGAGTCAACTGCAAGAAAGGGATAAAGATCTGGGTTTGGCATTCAAGAGGCTGGATGAACTGGAGAAGAGTCTGGAGAATGCGCATCAGGAGGCGGCAGCACTTCGCGAACGCTGCCAGACGACCGACCTCCAAATCGAAGAAAGCAATTTGGAGCTAGCGCTGGCGCGAAGCGAGCTAGAGGCAAAGGACAAGGATGTGGAACGTCTCAGAGAAACCGTCGAAAAATTGCAAACTCAGGTGGCAGAGATCCGACAGATGCAGAAGGGAGCTCACAAACCGGTCACGAAGACCGTCGTTCACTATCCGTTCCCGCTGCACGATTGACAGGTACATAAACAAAAGGGGAAAAGACTTGGCGTGTTCCCCCCACGCGGTGACCGCCGCTTTCTGTGTGTTTCACTTCCACACGGTGACCGCTTTCTGAATGCCGAGGCTGGACGAACGAAAAAGACAAAAGTCGCAGAGCAAAAAAAAAGAAAAAAGAGGAAATTTGAAGGAAAAGAAGTGGAGAAACAAAAAGAAGACAAGCAAAAGAAGCGAAACATGCATGAACCTGGGAAGCCAAAGTCCTCCCGACTTTAGGGCGGTTGTTGGGTCTTCTTTCATAACCATAGCTGGGTTGGTCTTAGGGCCCTAGAGCCGCCCACAGGAGGGAGGGAGGGAGGGAGGGAGGGAGGGAGGGAGGGAGGGATAAGGCCTGAGAATTGACTGCACGACTTTATAAGCGCTCGTGGGAGGGGTAGTATGTGGTGAATGGTCCTAAATCGCTGTGGTAACCGTGTGGTTATTATAACCGCACGGTCAGGTCAAGTCTCACAGGCAGCCTTGTACAGAAAAGTTCGGCATGAACCTGTCCGAAGATGCTGACCAGGTTCATGCAAAGTTTGTGGCCTGGCTCTTATGTAATCTCTCTGATAGGAATCGACTCTGCCACAGTGCTCTTTAATATATGCTAATTACTAAATTACTCAGGTTCAAAATCTGCCAGTGGGGCCTGATTTTCATAGTCTCTGACTTGACTGACGAACATTTTCACTGCGTTTCAGCGCGGCTCTGCTCTCCGTTCCAAGGCTCTAGCATGCAATCTTGCTACCTTCGTCCGCCGAAGACAACGTACGGTCATTATACATGCATTTAAACTCGAATATACCGGAAATACAGATATAATGACCGTATGTTGTATACTGTACTGGGGTGCGAAACTCCACTCTCTAGAGTCTCTACGACTTGGAGGCATTCACTGTGTCACAGTCCTCTACTCTGCGAGTGGGGCCTGATTTTCGTAGTCTGCGACAGACATTTTCACTGTGCTAGGATGTGCTTTTTCAGGCCAAGCTAGCATCCAATCCTGCTAGACTAAGGACCTATTCACACTAGCTCGATTGAAAATGTATCAGACCGAATTGACGGCCGTTGGTGGATGTATCTGACCCAAATAACGTCCAAAAATAATGGAAAACGTCCTTAGGCTAGTGTGAGTATGCCCTAAATGTGGTTGGTGTCAATGTTCACACACTCACTCACTTCAGTCCACTCTGCCAGAGGGGCCTGATTTTCTTTTTTTTTTCTTTTCTCTCTTTCTTTCTTTCTTTCTTCTTCTTCTTTTTTTTTTTTTTTTTTTTTCGTTTTTAGACAAAGCCATTAAATTTTGGGGCTGATTTTCATAATCTCCGACAAACATTTTCACCCTGCTAGGTAGGGTGTTCGCTGTGCCAATCTAGCATGCACTCCTTCACCCTCTACATCGCTGTGGCATGACAATATGACAAATGCCTGCTACAGAATGTGAGTCTTGTGCCCCACCCCACTACCAGTAGCAGGATTTCATGCCGCCACCATCTTCCATCCAAATAAGACGTATGGTCATTGTACCTGTATTTGGGGCAACTTGGAGTCTAGATACAGCCATAATGACCATACATTGTGCTCAGACGAAGAAGGCAGCTTGGCATGGCATGCCCCTAAAGTTAGCAGCATGAGAATTTCTGCCAGAGACTAGAAAAGTCAGTCTGCGCTGGCGGAGTAGTAGAGGGCTCCGGCATGGGTCTAGTTTCACACACTTCACTGTATCTAGTCTAGATCTAGTCTAGATCCAGTCTAAATTGGAAATCGCCCCAAAGACCACTAGAATGACCATGAGTTCTATCCTGGGGGCGATAATGATATTGGTCGTTCGTGCTATTTGGGCGAAGACGGTAGCATGCAATTCTCTGCTGCTGTGGTGTGCCCATTCCCTGGCTGGCATGTGCTGTGGTGCCCGCTCTCGCATGCAGAACAGTTGAGCAGAATGAGTTTTCCTGACCTGAAAAACACTTAAGACAGGCTGACAGCAGCCAAGCGTGAGCCAGGCGCCTTTCGGTTGGCATTTTGGTCCTCCCGATCTGCGGGCAAGAATCCCCATTGCTGCAGAGGCCAGTGCAGGCAAGCTTGTGCAAAGCTACCGTAGCAGGTGTGGCCGAGTCTGCCATGACACATCTGAGTATGAGCTTCACTTCATTGACTTGAAGGAGGGACAATTGCTCAGCTACCCCTGGACAACTCTACGTAACGGCAAAACTGCCCAATGCCATGCAATGAAACGGAGGACTAGGCTACTGTAGCAGGTGTGTCCAAGTCTGCCATGACATCTGAGTACGAGTTCATTGACTTGAAGGGACAATTGCGCAGCTACCCCTAGATAACTCTACGTAACGGCAAAAAACTACACGTGCAATTAAACGGACGACGAGGCTACCTGGCGTTTGCAGCCATAGGTCCGTCCTTTCCATCATACTCTGTCACATCCGAATGGGCAGCAAATGCAGACGATGCAGATGATGCAGACGATGCAGACGATGTAGACGAGAGAGTTGTCGTTCTGCATGCAGCTGTGCATGTGCGTGTGGGTGTGTGGTTCTAGGCATGTCTGACATCGTACGACCACACACCCATAACTAGCAGTTGGAAAGCGGGAGGGAAAATGACTCAGTGGGACTTTTCGTAATGGCAATGCTGCAGCTGTGGTGATTAAATTAAGGACTAATATGTCACCCCTGCTCTCCAGGCATTCCTCAGCACTGCATTGCTCCGTAACAATACATTACTCACGTTTAGCACACAAGTAAACAACACGATACCTCTCGCGTTTAGCACACCGATAACCACACGATAGCTGTTGTTCTACCTGGATTTGTATCGGTTTGCCTCTCTCTCTCTCTCTCTCTCTCTCTCTCTCTCTCTCTCTCTCTCTCTCTCTCTCTCTCTCTCTCTCTCTCTCTTGCGCGCGCGCGCT